ACTTGTGTGTAACACACACACACAGAGCGGCATTTAAAAACATGTACAATTGGCAATTGTATGTAAAACCCAATACTAATCATTGTGATTCAGAGAAAATTACAACCTCATGCTACTTTCATTACCATAAAAAACACGTGTGATAGTTAAAATCCAAACTGACAGCAACAAACGCTGGTGAGAATGTGAAACGACAGGCACCCACATTTGTCACTGGTGAGGAGGCAGAACGGTCACCGTGGAAGGTCACTTGGAAAGTCTGACACAGCTGAACATCCCTTTACCGTACATTCCATAAGATGCACTAGTAGGTAGTTAGTGAAAATGAGCTGAAGACTCACGTCCACATAAAAACCTGCTCGTGAGTGTTCATGACAATTTATTCATAACTGCCCCAAATTGGAAGCAACACAGATTGTCTTCAATAGGTGAATGAATGAACGAAGTGGAGTGTATCCGTGAAGTGGAATGTTATTCACAGTACAAAGAAATGAGCTCTGAGTCTCCAAAAGACATGGAACCAACCTTAAATGGACATTGTTAAGTAAAGTCAATTGGGAAGGAGGACATACTACATGATAACTCTTTGATATTCTGGAAAAGACAAAACCATAGAAAAAGCAAAAACATCTATCTGTGGTTTCAAGTGGGGCAAGTAGAAAGGACTAACTGATGGATTACAAGGAATGTTTAAATTGGTGAAACTATTCTGTAAGATACTGTAATGGTGGGTACCTGACATTACACATTTTTTTCAAATCTCGCAGAGATATCCTATAACAGAGTGAACCCTAAAGTAAACCATGGACTTTAGTTAGTAATAATGTATCAGTATTGGTTCATCACAGTAAATGTGCCATAGCAGTGCAGTGTTAGGACTAGTGGACCCAGGCTAAGACAGAAAGGTGTCAGGCCTAGGCTATAATGGAAAAATACCAGTTAACTCCTGGCAAATTTCCAGACTGCAAACTTTCAAAAAAAAAAAAAATGAAATAAGTCTAGTTCACTCCCAAGACAGATGGGAAAGTACTAATTAATATCTTACTTCTTGTTCACTCCAAGTTTCTTGCTTGGCTAACTCCTTGGGAAACACACCAGATAGTACCAACTATTCCTGGACTAACTTTTATACAATACCAGGTGGGGAAAGTACTGAAACTAAGATGTGTAGGGGGAAAATATTAAAAAAAAGATGTATGACGTGTGACTAACCTCGACATTCTGCTTCTGTACAATGCTACCCTACCCAGATGCAACTGGACAGCCTGCCCGCCAACCAGGATGCAGACCAAACCCTAAAAACCCAACCCCTTAGGCACTCGAGGCTGCTCTCAGAAACCCCATGTTGGGACACTGAGGCAGTCATTGGCCAGCTCTTCAATAAAAGGACTCCTCTTTTAATTTAACTTGTTTGGCACTGTGCACAAGAGCAGAATGTTAATAATTACAGAAACTACTTAAGGGAGAAATATGTGGGAACTCTCTGTAATCACTGCTCAATTTATCTATAAACCTAAACTGCTCTGAAACAAAGTTTATAAATTAATCCCCCCACACATAATTTGAAAGCATATACAGATAATATTAATGCTGTCCCTTGAAAAAAAATTTTTTGTTTGTTTGTTTTGAGACAGAGTTTCACTTATTATCCCTCAATAGAGTGTGGTGAAGTCACAACTCACAGCAACCTCCAACTCCTTGGGCTTAGGCGATTCTCTTGACTCAGCCTCCCAAGTAGCTGGGACTACAGGCACCTGCTACAACGCCCGGCTATTTTTGTTGTTGTTGTTGTTGTTGTTGCAGTTTGGCTGGGGCTAGGTTTGAACCCACCACCTTTGATATATTGGGCAGGCACCCCACCCACTGAGCCACAGGAACCGTCTTAATTTTTAATTTTTTTAACAACATAATAGTTATTAAACAAAACTGTTTAACTAAAAGTTAAACTTAAAGTTATTTAAATTTCTAGCTACATTCCAAAAGATATTGAGTTAATAGTCTGTCATATAGAAATAAATTAATAACCCTGCTCACATGGCTGTTTAAAAGATTTAAAAAAAAAATTCTTCTTCCAAATTATGTATAAATGTCCACACTACATTAGTACATCTCTGATTTTCATTGAATTTTACAAAGCTTAATAAATATTTTACCTACAATCTATTGTTATGAAACTGAATGTAAAAGTTGCTGAGTCTCTATAAAGATCACATTTGGCTATTGAAAGCCTTACCTAGTACTTATCAGACTTGAACATGTGTGAGAGTCAACTGGGGATCGTTCTGAAAGGAAGAGTCTGATGCAGTGGCTTTGACCTGATGCCTGATAATCTGCATGTCTATAAACTTCCAAGCAATCCTAAGGCTTGTCTACAACTTGAGTAGCAAGGTTCTAGAGAATATCTAGGTCACAAAACTATTACCACTGTGAAAAACAAACCCAAATACCTAGCAACCTGGCAAGAGATTAAAGAACTGTTTTTCCCCATTCTTTTACCTGAAGAAGTTTACAGGCCTCCTAAAATTCTCTATCTGCTTTCCCAATATATAATCCTTTTCAATTTCAGCCATCAAGGGGGAGGCTTGCTGACCTTTGTACAGTGAGCAAGCTACCTATTTATAATACTCTCTTGGCTCATATGAACTAAGGACCATCTATTTCTAGTTCAATTCCTCAGTTTATATGTCTTCAATAGAAAAAAAGATCAGGTGACTGGCTCAAGGTCACTTATCCAATATTGTAAAGGTCAGGTCTCCAATCCAGATTTCTGATTTCAAACCCAGTCCCTTTTCTTCTGTTTTCTTGTTTCTTCTAATAATGACTCACTCCAGAGAATAGGGATCAGGTGGTTTAGACAACAAATGTCCCAATTCTAAATTGAATCCCTCAGCCTGCTACTTCCCACTGAAATTCCTAACAAGAGTTCAAGATCTTGTGGGAGGATCAGATACAGTAATGGGGAGGATTTCTTTGTACTTTCAAATAAACCTTGAAATTTAACAAAACTTTGTGAACATATGAGATTATGTGACCATGGTTTAAAGGTACGAGAGAAAAGCCTAGGATGTCTCACCATGGAACATGAGGACAAAAATGATTTGTTCTGTCTCCCCAAACCTGACAGTCTTCTCTTAAAAGAGTTCACAACCAACCACGGGAGGGAGTCAGAGGCAGTGGACACTTATCCCGCAATATCTTTCCCAAGACACCTCACTTAAGTTGGGACAAATGACTTGATTTCTTCCATGAGGGCTTTCAGTCATTAAATTAACTAAAACTAAACTGACCTTCACAACATGAAGAAACAGGACTTGGCAATGTAAAAAGAATTTCGTATTAATATATGGATAACATTAATTATAACTAATAGTTAAAGTTTCCTAACCTTTGTTTAAAGGGCAGGTCCCAACTTCACTCTGACTTCAACACTACATCCAGGTGGGAGGGTTAATAAATGTGAAATGTTTAAGTGACATCAGGAGTCTGTACACGTCTTCAGAGGGTTATCTTTCTAAGCCCTTGGGGTTATTCTTCTAGCAGTAAGAATATGCCTTCACAGACCCTCCCCTTCCCCCACCGGGCGCCCTGCGTGGTAAAAAAGAGGAAGTCAGGCTGATATGGCCTCGGGTGTAAGGCCTGCCATTGGACATAGACCAGCACCCAGTCATGGAGATCCTGTCCTTTGTTCAGGGACTCTCTGTGAGTGTGTGTGCTACAGCAAGCAGCTCAGAACCTCGGTGAGCTGGCCAGACTGTTTCTGAGACCACATCCCAAGGTTCTATAAGGAAGAACCAGTAATATTCTCTTCATGGGATTAAGTGAATGTCAAGGCAGATGAGCTTCTGAGCTCCCATCTCAGTCCTTCCATGACTCTTTGGAGGTGTTCATATGTGAAAGCTGAGTAGTGAAGTCTCTGTCAGAGCCACTCAGCCTCGCTGCCTCTGGACCCAGCATGAGGAAAATCAGTAATGTCTGACTCTTTGTTGGTGGGTCTGGGCTCTTAGGAACAACTGTGAGCAGTTTAGGTGCCGTGCACTACAATAGTCTTCTACAAACTTCTGGCCCTGGCGAGCTTCCAGAATAGTACAAGCTGCTCCAAAGTCTCAGAAGCAGAAGGCTCTCTGTGCTGGCTGGTGGCTGGAAATCTGGCTGTAGCTGACATACCCAAATTTGTCTTTCTTAAGACCTGACGTATGCATCAGTGTATCATTCATGGCTCACATGTTCCCTCTCCACTCTGCCTACCATGTGCCACTCCCCTCCCTCTGATCAACATTCTTTCTCTCCTTTGAGACTTGTCCACAAGTGGCAACCACCCCTCCCCCACCTGCCAGGAGCTTAGTGTCCACTGTGGCCTTCCAGCCGGCTGAGCACCTACAGCAGTTAGGGACCCGCAGCAAACTCATTTGGAATTGATGCTCAGCCCAGCTTCTGAGAAGAAACCATCACAAGTGGACCTACTTACTCTGACTTTCCAGGATACATAAGAAAGGTGATAAAATAAAGAAGTTCACATACCATACTTTCTGTTGAACTTTCAAAGATTTTTCACACTAAAAATGCCAACAAATAAAAAGGAGAAACCTGGCTGAAGGGCAAGGTGCACAGTTTTTTTGTTTTTTTTTTTTTTCTGTTCTTGGCATCATCTCTGAATCAAATCACCAGAATAATTTCTGGGAAGCTTAAGGAATGTAGTTTAGAACAAGTATTTTAAAAAGAGACAGGTATCAGTCTAATATAAAGAGCAACTTTTTGCAAGTATGGCTGAACAATACTGAACAAGACCAAATAGAAGACCGTTAGCCCTGCCCATGCCACTGTGAGGGCTGACACACTGTCTCAGAGTCCTCAGCTGTGGACGTGGCGTATTCAGTGGAGAAAAGCAGCATTAGTTCTTTGCTGCCTTAAGATTCTGCAATTCTGCTGCAAACAAGAATAACAATGACTCGCATACTTTGCAATCAATAATAATAAAAGAACAATGACGATGACCAACTTACTGTGCTGACAGTGAATCCCATTGAATCCCCGAGGACATTTACAGACGTAGCCTATGAAGGTGTCTCCTCGGTAGGCTTCACTGATTTCGCACGTTCCCCCATTGTGGCATGGGTTAGGAAGGCAGGGGCCTGAAAGGAAAATATATTGCTGCATGATATGCATGCTCCGAAGTGACATGAGGTCAACATCTTATAAACAATAATTTTATTTAAAAAAAAAGTATTTGGGATATCAGTGGTACAGGTTGTTTGAGGTCTGGTGACTAAAGGTTTTGAATCCTAGTTTCACCATGTTCTAGCCATGTGACTTGAGAGATTTATTTAACCTTCCTGTGACTTAGTTTCCTCTTCTGTTTAATGTCAATGCTACTAAAATTTATTTTAAGGGGTTGTAATACAGATGAAAAGAGTTCTTACATACAAAATACTCAGAACAGTGCCTGTCACATATTAAGCACTCAGAATATATTAACACTAAATTGAGTAGCATTATTAAACATTTTTTGAATTGCACAATATCTGCTCATGTTTAAAAGTTCTACTGAATGGCAATTTTTGAAGCTGCAAACCCTGAAGAGCTTTATTCCCCCACTGGTGCAACAGCATATGGCCGTAAGCACAAGACCAAGTGCGTCTGCTGGTTGTGATGCTTTTACAGACTACAGGATGGTGGATCAGACTCTGCAGAAGCACACATTTTCCGGTCTAAAAGAAGACAGTCATTTTGAAGCTTTGAGAAGGTAACTTCAACAGAGTAACTGGCACCTGTGTCAGGCAACGGAAGGATGGCGCTCAGCTCTCTTTCAGAGAGGAGCCGCTGGCAGCAGTGTGGGTAGCTGACGCGTTCAGCTCCTGCAACCACAGATTGGCCACAGCAGCACTCATGCCACTGCCACGCTGCCCAGGCCATCACTGAGCACCAGGTGTAGACAAGCTGGTCCTGCCTGACCTGGGACTCTGCTGACAAGCGTTCTTCACTCTGGGGTGCACCAATGGTGTGGCTGAGATTTTCTTAGAAGCCGCTGCCGTCTGAGGCTTTTATTCCATGCAATATTCTTTCTGTCCTTTTCTTTCCTCAGAAATGACAGACAAGCTTGTGCCAGTGTGAAGGTTCATCCTACCTGTTCACGTTCCCCCTCTCTATTGCCCATCCCAGACATCCCTCTGATAAATCTTTTGTACTTCTCATTCTATCAGAAGTTCTGCTTCTGACTCAGGACAGAATCCAGACTGGAGATAATAAAGAAGGGAAGAGTCACGCTGCTCTCCCTGAAAGATGAAAAAAGGCCAAGCAAAAAAATATAGTTTTCTTTGATTTTGTTTGTATTTATTTTAATTAGAGATATTAAAATGCATTTATAAGGGCAAAAAGTCACCAAAGAGAAAGTTAAAATGTACATTTTAAAAAAGGAAAATAAGAGCAATTAAACTAAATGACTGCGTATGAAGAGGCAAATTTGGGAATCCTGGAAGAGGAGCAGGTCACAGGGGGGCTGACTTCAGTGGAGAGAAGGCAGCAGAAGGGTGGGACTCAGGATAATGAGGACTTGAGGAAGTCGGGGCAGCGTCCACCAGGCAAGACCAGCCCAGGAGTGCACAGCCAGTGAGCCCTGGAGCGCGCTGTCAAAGGCCCCGAAATACTTGGGGGGAGGGGAAAGAAAGGCAATTCACCTCATCACCTGGGGCAGGGCACCGGGGCCTCAGCCACAGTGGGAAGCACTGGGGAGTCGCTAACAACGACCTGCGGGATTTTATGATTCTATTCCTCCCTCTAGCAGCAGGATTTTATGACTCCTTCCTCCCTTCTTCCTTCCCTCTCTTGTTCCCTCCCTCCAAATCTCTTTCTTTCTTGCTTCTTTCTGTTTTTGCTTTCTATCTTTGAGATGGAGTCTAGCTCTATCACCCCATGGAGAGTGCAGGGGCATCACTGCACTTCACAGAGACCTCAAATTCCTGGGCTCAAACGATCCTCCTGCCTCAGCCTCCTGAGTAGCTGGGACTACAGACAGACATCACCACACCCCGCTTTTCTTTTGTTAGTTTTTTAATAGAGATGGGATTTCAATCTTGCTCAGGCTTGTCTTAAACTCCTGACCTCCTCCTACCTCAGCCTCTCAGAGTGCTAAGTTTATAAGGGGGAGCCACCTTGCCTGGCCTCCATTTCTTCTGAGTTTAAAATGTTATGAAATTCAGTGGGTGTAGGGTCTGATAAGAACAGGCAATAATACGCAATTCTGCAGTGCTCTGACCCTCGCTATCTGATAGGGCTGGCTTTTGAAAAGTAGAAAGTAATTGGATCTGTGATTATTTTCCCCAAGATATCTCCACACTGATTAACAATATGTACTTATCTAGGCAGTGTTGTGCTGCCTTGTATGTATCAATTATCTAAGCCTGCCCTTAAGGTGAAATACCCCCGCTGTCTCAGGCAGGGAAGTGGGTGCAAGAGCAGCGACCAGTTAGGGAGCAATTTGAATCATTTCCTTCCACTGCTAAGAGATGAAAAGTATGCTCCTGACCCGTGTCTCCTTTTCTTTCTCACTTTCCACTTCTTCCTTCCTCCCAAGTTAACTAACATCTGATGGTGCTTTAGAATTTAAGAACTCTTTTTCACATAAGGAATCTCATTGTTCCCACAATGCAGTGAGGTCCTACTCATTAACATGCTTTCTGTAAAAGAACTGTAAGTTCTAAAAAACTGAATATGGTAAAGATTAAATAATATTTCTCAACTTCTATCAGTGACACAATCAAGCCTTAGATTAAGGCTCTGTGATTCTAAAGCCTATGCTCCTCAGACCATCCGTTATTTGGCATAGAGAGATTAAAATAAAAGTGACCTTAGAGTTGTGACTCACCGATTCACTTCAAAATAAGGGTGAAAAAAGGACGTAGATTTTTTAATTAATTGCTGATAGCCAGGTTTGTACTAGAATCAAAGAATTATATAATTTTAAACAAATAAGGAGTCTTGGAGATCACATAATACAATTTTTCAGTTTTGTAGATGAGAAGACAAAACTAACTACAAATTCAGGAATATCTCTAAAATGTCACAAAAATACGAGGGAAATGTACCCAGGAGGAAAAAATAGCTCTTAAAACTCAAACTGAAGAGAAATTCCTCAAAGGAATGGGTAATTTATATCTGGAAAAAAATAAGTCTCTTCTGTGCATCCTGACTGTTACAGAGTTGGATGAGACTGGGATTTGGACGGCTAAGGTTGGGAGCGCTTTGGGAGGCCAAATGGGAACTGCTTGGGGCCAGGAGTTCCAGACCAGCCTCTGTCAGTTCTTGAGAGCAGCTGAAGCTGGGATCAATGGAAGTCACTCTGACAAAAATGGGGTGAAGATGAGCCTGGAACTGGTGGCTCTGTTTACTTTAGGGCATCTAAAGGTCCCATTGCATCTTCGGAAAAGAAAATCGTGGCTAGAAGGTGGGGAAAGCAAGAAGAGCTAAAGGGATCGGTGTTGATAAAGGGGAGAACTGGGGACTGGAGCAGATAGCCAAGGAGAGGCCATCTCAGACGTCTTCAGGGAGACAGACAGGGAGGCTGGGAGGCTGTACTACGTGGAGAAAAGCAGCTGGTGAGAAACGGTGCCATCCAAAATCCAAGTTTAAGTGTTTGCACAGATGCTATGTGAACTGTCTGCTCTGGAGCCTGCAGCTTTACAATCAAGTCTGCTCCCCACGGACTGTTCCCAAACAGCCTGTGTGTGTTTGGGGAAATCAAGGGGAAAGGGCTGTGCGACGGATGTGGCTGGTCCTGGCAGAAGGGGAGAGGTGCTGCTGCACATCATGCCCAAGAGAGTCAAGAATCCAGCTGATCCAGGAAGCTGCAGGTGGAGCTGACAGGGGTGTCTTAAGTCCCAGACATTCTGGGCACTTCCTGAGGGCGCAGGGGAAGCCTGTCCAGGGATCTTGGCATGGCCTCTGGGATTCCCCTAAGATGAGAGTTGATAAGTTGGAGCTCTTTTATTTTACACCCCAAAAGACTTCATGACCTCAGCTGACACCTGGGTTTTAGAAAAAGATTACCTGTTTCAGGGGTTGTGGCTGCTGTTATTTTTCCCACTGCAAGAAATTCAGCAATTCTCATTGAAAGGAAGAGGGTGAAGTCAAGCAAAGGGAACAAGGATTTAACCTTTCCAGACTCTCTTCTATGCATGCTAAATGTCAGGTACAAGTATTATCTTTCCTAATACTTTAAAAGAATAGATCCTGGCTCCAGAGGCAGAAAAACAGACGCGGAAAGGTTAAGTAAAAGCATAGATTTCAACACACTCTGCCCAACTAGACAGTCCACGCCCCTCCCATTAAGCTATGCTTCCTGCCATGCTGAAATCTGTATATTAATATGTTAGTCTTCACAGCTGTAAACAGAATCAGCATGAATTCACTCCACACATGCCTATAAATAATACAGCACTTCAAAGCCTCACCAATCGGAAACATTTCAGAGTACTTTCGGCAAGCAGGTCGATGTGTATTAAATATTGTGAATATGGATAGGCTCTGCTAGGCTAATAGTACTGCATTTCCTTGCAGCTATGTCTGAAATCAACTGTCAAACATGAGAATTTCCCCAATATTATTTTGTAATAATTGTAAGACTGATGTCCTATGCCTTGTACATACTTTTTGGGGAGGACACATGATGGGAGTATTAAAATGAGGGATTTCCTGTGGCTTTTCCCCACTAGACTGTGAATTCTGTATGGGAACAGTCATGATGGCACACAGAGCTTGTTGGATACATTTTGAATAAACAAAGCCATGGCAATAATGATTGCTAACCATTGTATCTCTTGCCTAAACTGTATCCTAATTTTAGGTTTATAAGGCATCACAATTCTTTGGATTTTTATTCCATAATTAATTTGGATACTTTCTGTAGCTTTTCTACACCTTTCAAGCATCAAGTCCTTTACATTTATAATTAGATTCCAACGATTTTTGTCTCTAATATGGTTTAAGCTTGTGAAGTATTACACTGAATTGTAAATAACAATTAGAATGTGTACTCTTGCAAAATGATTACATGTATCTTAATTCTTTGTCAAATTCAGAACCAAGGAAGACGTAACTTTGGATAATCTAATTAAGTGTTTTTGTGTCCTAATTTAAC